GGCCCGGGGCGAGGAGCGAGGGGGTGTTAGGGCGGGGGGCGCCCGGGGCAGGAGCGAGGGGGTGTTAGGGCGGGGGGGCGCCCCGGGGGGCAGGAGCAGGGGGGGTGTTAGGCGGGGGGCGCCCCGGGGGCAGTGTTATGTGGGGGGGTGTTAGGCAGGGGACACCCCGGGGGCAGGAGCAGGGGGGTGTTAGGCAGGGCGCTCGGCGCTGTTCAAGCCCCACACACTGCTGCGGCGCGGGAGCAGAGCTCTCCCTCCCATGGTGGGGTCGAATGGGAACAGCCAGGGGCAGGGCGTTCCAGAGGCCCCGCCCCCATATGCTCGATTGCTCGGTCGGCGTCTGCTCCTGTCTAGGATCTGGTGGCTCACACGTAGCTCTATTGGCGCTGCCTTTCCGGCCTCCACGTGGGTTTGTTTGCGATGGCGGCCCAGGAGCAGCCGGCGCGGAGCGAGGTCTCGGCTGCGGCGCCAGGTGGGACCTTGGTGTGTGGAGAGCGAGGGGTTCCGCCCGCCCGACTAGGGGCCGGGGCCGGTTCAATCCGGCCCCAGAATGACCTGGCCCGTATCCCCCGGCTTGGGACCGGTCTAGAGAGCGAAGGCCCCGGATCCGCCCCCGCCCTCCTCTCCCCCGCCTCCCGCCAGGGGACGGGCTCCGGGGCCTTTACCGCCCCCGTGGCTCCCTGCAGGCCAGGGGAGGGGAACGTGCTTGTCTGTCCCCAGAGTGTGTGAGCGCGTCCCACGCTGCAGCCGGTCCCAGGACCCGCGATGGGTCTCTCCCCCCCCCCCCCTTCATCAGATGTCCCGAGCTTTGGCCCTTCGGGGCTTGGGGCAGTGGCTGCTCGGGCCCGGTTCTCCCGGCCAGGCTGCGCACCAACCTCCTCTGACGTGCCATGCTGGGGGCAGGAGCAGGAGCTGAGGGTGCCAACTTTGGTTGGACGGTTTCATGGAGGTTTCATCTAATCTTTAATTCCTGGAGACTCCAGGCCAATCTGGAGGGTCGGTAACCCTGTCTGACGGGTGCTTTCCCCAGGAGCTAGGCCTGCCCCTACCCCCATGCAGCGCTAGCTTCTGGGCCCGAGCATGAGGTGACACGCCCCGTGTGTGGCGCAGAGATGCGCTCTGCAGAGGATGCTGGCTAGTTTGAAGGGAGGCTCTGCTGGGAGTGGCTGCTGTGGGACCATTAATTTTGCCTGGAGTGAGGAGGGTGGGTCCATCAGCCTTGAGCTGTGCTCGGAATACATTCTCTGACTCCAGCGTCTCCTTGGTCCCAGATCTATCCCACGTTCCAGTCACCTCTGCCTGCTGCTCACTTGGTGGACAGAACGGTCAGCAGGGGCTTTTCCTGCCTGGCATGGCTGAGACGAAGCCAGTCAGCCATAAGGACTTCAGTGTCCCAGTTGTCTAAATTACTTTGTAGCATTTAATTTATCCGGGCAGTTTGCTTCACAGGAGCCTGGATAACTCATTTAGTGAGTGGGCAAAGCAGCTCGTGAGTCACCTGGCCTTCAGACAGCAACGAACACCTGTTCGCTTTGAGGCACTGTCATGAAAGGGCCCTTTGCAAGCATAAATAAAGCAGCCCTTACGCTGCATCTGGCAGTGTTCGGATTGCTGACACCTTTCTGATTCAGAGTCCCACAAAAGGGTCTCGAGCAGTCATGGTAAAACAGGAATAGAAACCTGCTCTTTACAGCTCCCATCACTTTGTCAAGTGAGATACTAGAGAAGTAACATGGGCCCTTCCCTTGCAGATCACTGTCCCTACAGGAGTGCCAGCCTGCTGCCGCCCCTTCCACAGGGCATCCTGGACACACTTGTGGCAGTGCTGGCTCTGGGCCAGTTGGTGGGACTCTGGTAGCGGGTGGGATGGGGAGCTCCTGTGGGGTCCTGGCTGGGGAGGGAAGAGGAGTGCTTGTGGGGGCAGAGGACCAGCAGGGAGAAGGGGAGCTTTCTTGGGATGGGCTCTAGCTGGGGAGGGGGAGCTGTCTCCAGGGAGCTCCCTTGGAGGCAGGGTCTGGGGATAGGAGCAGGGGAGCTCCCTCAGACACAGCCTTTAGTGTCAGTGTGTGCGAAATGTTTGGCAGGCAGTGTGTGCTAGGGCTACTCGGCCTTAACCTGGGACTCCCTTGGGGCCAAGTCGTGAATTGGGCTCAGGGCAGCCCTTATGCGAGAGCCCCCCTCCCCCCCCGTGCTGGCTCTGCGAGGGGCTGCAGGTGGAGCTGGTTCTGGGGCGCTTGCTGGGCTCTGGGTAGCAGGATGTCCGTTGACTCCTCACCGCTGAGGGGGCGCTTCGGCTGGAGCTTGTGCGTGGTGACCCAGTGTGTAGGACCTTCCGACCTGCCTATGGGCCCCTGTAGCCGCATGGTGGTCACCTTTAAACTTGCCAGCTGCCTGAGAGAACAACAGACTTCTCCGCATTCCCTGGATGGCGGCTGGGGGGCACTGTCTGGGACGCAGGCGGCTGGCAAGTGGAAGTGGTCTCTGCACAGAAGCCTTGCTAGGCCTCATGTCATGGGGCGATGGGGTCATGCTGGAGCAGGCACCAGCTCCTCCGCTGTCGCTGGCTGGACTCCTGCTCTCCGGGGAGTCGTCATTGTCCTTCCCCTGAACTCGGCTTGGAGTGACTGGCCACTACCTCTCCTGGAAGGCGGTGCTGCCCCTAGCTGCTCAGCAGAGCTTTCCCCGCTGGGTTACTGGCGCTGAGCGGCCCCTGGGCAGTGGGTTTCTGGCTCTGGGCAAGGCCCCCATCTCTGTGCATGTCAGTGGGGTGGGGGCTGTGGCCAAGCCTTTCTCAGTTAGTTCTGTTCGGAGTTTCTAATCTGGGCTCAGTGCAGTCCCCGACAGCTGCCCCTCGCCCCCTCCATTGCTCCCGCATCACTCAGCAGGATTGAATGTAATTACACAGCTTTCATTGTAGCATTTTCTTGCCTTTAATGTTAGTTTATCGAGGGGTCAGAGCATGAAGTTACTCTGCGCCTCCGACACCCCCCCCCACCCCCGGCTGTGCTAGATTAGCAGGCTTGGTGCCTCCCCGCATTACGGAGCCTGGCTGCTGGGGGGGTGGAAACCCCCTCCCCTTGTCCTGCACCCAGTCAGTCTCTCTGGTTGGGGGGGCGGGTGTGGGGACTGCTGTGGGTCTCTGCCTTGCGGGAATGCTGCAGGACTGTGGGTCTCCTGTGCTCTCAGGCGAGCAGAGGGGTCTGAGCTCTGGAGTCGTTTGAGTGAGTTGGCATCTCTGGATGGATGCTGCATCATCAGGCCTCTGGAGGCAATAGGTGGTTCCCTCTTTGTGACACATCCAGCATGTCTCACTGTGCCTCCCAACCAGTCCTCGCTGCTGGCTGGACAGAGCCAGGCTTTCCCCCAGCTCTGCCGGTGTGATGGCCTGTCTCCCTGTGCAGCGGGAGCCAGGTGTCAGACTCGGTGGTAGCTAACGGAGTCAGGTGTGGCACGTGCGGCTGGTGGGTGGCCAGCGGCTCAGCGCCGTCCCACTCTTCATGGAGCCTTTGGCTCCTTGTGCTTCTGTATAAAAATCTCCTTGGCTCTCCTTGCAGGCCGAGGACCCCAGCGCCGGCGGGTGGCTATGCAGATCCCCGAGGCAATTCTCACCAATAAGGAGCTGCAGGAGGCAGTTGGAGCCCTCCCCAGCAACTATAACTTTGAGATCTACAAGACAGTGTGGAGAATTCAGCAGGCCGAGGCCAAGAGAGGTAAGTGGCCCCTTGGGGCCATGCTGCACTCTTAGCGTCCTGCGGGCTTCGTGCACCAGCTCACCACTGGGGCTGCGTGGGGGCTAGATCCCATTGACCCTGTTGTCGCAGCCCCGGCCCCTCCTGAGTCAGAACGTGCCTGGCCCTCGCCAGCGTGTGGGTCCCAATCAGTCCGGAGGGGGTGTGTTGTAAGGCCAGGCCAGGAGGTGGGCTGAGAGCACTTGGGGCTAGGTTCCCTAGGGGAACGTACTGCTGGCTGCTGGCTGTGCCAAGCTGTCAGTCAGACTGGGAAGCAGCTGCCACACCGCCGGCATTTAACGTTACGGGGAGCGGGCCATAACTCTTCCGACGATTGAGCGTGTTTGTATCTCAGGTTTATAATCACATTAGACAGGACAGGCTGAGTTGCATGTGGCTGTCATCCTGCTGGCGATTGGGCTGGGATGCTGGCCAGGGCTCCAGTTACAGCTCTGTCTCTTTCCTCTTTCCCTGCGCTTCCTGGCTGAGCCTTTGGGGATTGGGGGGTACACCCGGGTGAGCCAGTGCCCAGGTGGAATATGGGTGAAGGGCAAGGCCCCCCAAAGGTGGGGGGCGGCATTGGGGTCCTGGGAAGCAGTTCCATTGATACGGGGGGAGGGGCAGGCATAGGCATGAGCTCCTGGCTGTGTGGGCTGCGTGTTTCCAGGCTTGGGGAGAGGGAGGCGCAGGTGCCCTGGTCTCTGCTGGGGCATCTCTGACTTGAATGTGGTTTCAGCTCATGGCAGCTGCTTTATCTCCCCCATGGCCTCAGCGGCTGACGAGTAAATGCCCCAGCCCTCTCCCTGGCTGGGGTTGCTGGCCACAGCCTGCTCTGCACTGTTCCTCATGGGCTGCCAGTGCAGAGAATAGTGCATCAGACTCACGATCCTCACTGGGCCACCCATGCCCTGGAGGAAAGGAGCAGGCCCCTATGGGTGCTGGGAAGGGAGAGGTGCTTGGTGTGTCTGAACTGTGACTGCACGCTGTACTGGTGGGGGGCAGGTGAGCACGGGCTGTCACAGGCGGTGGGCGGGGAAGGGCTCATGAGTGGGGTGTGTGAGATGATCGTGTGGACAGGGCCCCCATAGTGTGCCCTCTCTGCCCTCGGCACTGTTCGGGTTCCTGGAAGCTGGGGCGTGTGGAGGGGCTGAGGAGATGCAGCTCTGGGGTTTGTGACTGGCCGGGGGCCCTGGCAGCCTGGAATGTTTGATCGGGCGAGGAGCACAGAGAGCGACAGGGTCACGATGAACCCGTGGGATGCTCTTGTGACCTTTGAGGGGAAGGATGACCCAGGGGTTAGGGCAGGGGTAGGCAACCTATGGCACGCGTGCCGAAGGCGGCATGCGAGCTGATTTTCAGTGGCACTCTCACTGCCCGAGTCCTGGCAGCAGTCCGGGGGGCTCTACATTTTAATTTAATTTTAAATGAAGCTTCTTAAACATTGTAAAAACCTTATTTACTTTACATACAACAATAGTTTAGTTCTATATTATAGACTTATAGAAAGAGACCTTCTAAAAACGTTAAAATGTATTAGTGGCACGTGAAACCTTAAATGAGAGTGAATAAATGAAGACTCGGCACACCACTTCTGAAAGGTTGCCGACCCCTGGGTTAGGGCATCTGCCAGGACCCAGTTCGGCTCCCTGCCCTGCTGCAGGCTCCCCAGGGGACCTTGAACAAGTCCCTGGCCTGCCTCGGTTCCCACCGGTAACGTGGGGACGGCAGCTCTGCCCTGGCAGGGTCACTGAGGATTGTGAGGTGCTGGGACCATTGAGAGATCTGAGTATGTGTCACTCCTGTCTTGGCTTGGTCGCTCTCGGGGCCCAGACCATCATGCCCTGTCCCCCGGGGGTGCTCAGGTTGGGAGGAGGCAGAGGGGGAGTGTGTGGGCTGTCCTGGCCATGGTGCTGCCTGGGCACCCCTGTGCTGTGTGGTTTGTTCTAATGAAATGCAAACATGCGGCTCGGATTTAGGTTTTAGCCTCTCGGGGAATATTGGAAGCTGAACCCATCAGCCGTGCTGGGCTCTCAGATGTGCACCTGCAGAGGCCAGCGCATGGCTCGCTGGCAAGGGGCTGCAGCTGAACCCGAGAGAGCAGGAGTTCGGGGCAAGGCTTCCCTGTGCCAGCACTTGGTGGGGAGGGGATGTGATGGGCTGGAGGTGTGTATCTGGGCCTGGGTCATAGCAGGGAGGCCAGCGGAGAGCCGGTGGGCACAGAGGGCAGGTGCTTTGCTAATGGAGGGGAAGCCAGCTGTCCTGTGCTTCCCCCACCCACTCCCAGCACCTGGGGGAAGCACAGGCCTCACTTGGGAAGGCAAGTCTGTTTTCTGGCCGGCAGTCCGGGGCCCAGGGCTGGAGCTGATTCTACCCTAGGGGGGAGGAAGGATTCGGAGCCCCTCGAGCCAGCTGTGCCGAGCCCTGGGCACTCGCTGCCCCAGTGGGACGAGCAGGGTGCTAGTGCTCAGAGCAAGGTGCTGCGAGTTGGGCTCCTTGGAGCCCTGCCACCTGCCCTGGGCCCTGAAATATCTGGGCTGGGGAGTGTGAAGTGCCTCTTGCCTTGCGTGTGCTGGGCTCTCTGCTCCTTATCCGGGAAGCAAGGCTGGCGATTAATCACAGTTACCACACGCCATGCACGCAAAAACATTAACTGCGATTAATCGCACTATTACAACAATAGAATACCAATTGAAATTTATTAAATATTTTTGGATGCTTTTCTACATTTTCAAATATATCAATTTCTATTACAACACAGAATACATACTGTACAGTGCTCACTTTATATTATTATTTTTTATTATAAATATTTGCACTGTAAAAATGATAAACAAAAGAAATAGTATTTTTCAATTTATCTCATAGAAGTACTGTAGTGCAATCTCTTTATCCAGAAAGTGTAACTTACAAATGTAGTTTTTTTTTTGTTACATAACTGCACTCAAAAACAAAACAATGTAAAACTCTAGAGCCTACAAGTCCACTCAGTCCTACTTCTTGTTCAGCAAAGCACAAAGACAAACAACATTGTTTACATTTACGGGAGATAATTCTGCCCGCTTCTTTACAATGTCACCTGAAAGTGAGAAGCATTTGCATGGCACTTTTGTAGCCAGCAGTGCAAGGTACCTACATGCCAGATATGCTAAACATTCATATGTCCCTTCATGCTTCAGCCACCATTCCAGAGGACATGCTTCCATGCTGATGATGCTCATTAAAAAATAATGCATTCATTAAATTTGTGACTGAACTCCTTGGGGGAGAATTGTATGTCTCCTGTTCTGTTTTACCCACATTCTGCCATATATTTCATGTTATAGCAGTCTCAGATGATGACCCAGCACATGTTTGTTTTAAGAACACTTTCACAGCAGATCTGACAAAACACAAAGAAGGTACCAATGTGAGATGTCTAAAGATAGCTACAGCACTCGACCCAAGGTTTAAGAATCTGAAGTGCCTTCCAAAATCTGAGAGGGACGAGGTGTGGCGCATGCTTTCAGAAGTCTTAAAAGAGCAACACTTCAATGCGGAAACTACAGAATCTGAACCACCAAAAAAGAAAATCAACCTTCTGCTGGTGGCTTCTGACTCATGATGAAAATGAACATGTGTTGGTTCGCTCTGCTTTGGATGGTTATCGAGCAGAACCCGTCATCAGCATGGATGCATGTCTTCTGGAATGGCGGTTGAAGCATGAAGACCTATGAATCTTTAGCGCATCTGGCATGTAAATATCTTGCGATGCCGACTACAACAGTGCTATGTAAAGGCCTGTTCTCACTTTCAGGTGACATTGTAAACAAGACGTGTGCAGCATTATCTCCTGCAAATTGTAACCAAACCTGTTTGTCTGAGCGATTGGCTGACGTAGGACTGAGTGGACTTGTAGGTTCTAAAGTTTTACATTGTTTTATTTTTGAATGCAGTTATTTTTTGTAACTAAGTTTACATTTGTAAGTTTAACTTTCATTATAAAGAGATTGCACTACAGTACTTGTATGAGGTGAATTGAAATGTACTATTTCTTTTGTTTTTTACAGTGCAAATATTTGTAATAAAAATAAATATAAAGCGAGCACTGTACACTTTGTATTCTGTGTTGTAATTGAAATCAATATATTTGAAAATGTAGAAAAACACCCAAAAATATGTAAATAAATGGTATTTTATTATTGTTTAACAGTGTTATTAATCAGGATTAATTGTTTTAATGGCTTGGCAGCCCTACTGGGAAGGGCTGGCAGATGGGGCCCACGCTGCTTTCCAGACGTCCCAGGGCAGCAGAGGCTGGCTGGGGAGAAGCGGCGCTCTGGGACCCCTCCTGAGGTGCCTGAAGCCCGGATTTCCCTGGCTGGGTAAGCCGAGTGCTTAGCCTTAGAAGAGCTTTGTGAGTCGGGGCAGCTGGAGATTAGCGTGGTTCCAACCCACTGGCCTAAAACAATGTCTTTAAATAGAGCTGGTGTTTGCCTGGGCAGGGCTCCGTAGCCTGGGGATTTCTGTCAGCCGGGGATCTGGGGAGGGAGACGGTGGGTTCGGGTCATTAAGGCCGGGATGCATTAGTGGGATCTAGAGTTAAGAGAATAACGGGATTAATGGGACCTGCAGCTGGAGTTCAAGGCCACAGTTCCGGCGCTCAGTCCCCACCCCAGCGTGGGGACCGTCCCTCACCTCTCCGAGGATCTGGAGCACAGCAAAGGGGGTTGAGTCCCAGTCTGACTGTTAGCATAAGAACAGCCACACTGTCAGAGCAATGGCCCACCTGCCTCTTGTCTGCCAACAGTGCCAGGGGCTGCAGAGGGAGCGAACAGAACAGGGCCACTGTTGAGTGATCCGGCCCCTGGCGTCCAGTCCCCGCTTCTGGCAATCAGAGGTTTAGGGACACCTGGAGCGTGGGTTGTGTCCCTGTCCAGCCTGGCCAACGGTGGATCTAGCCTCGTTCTGTTTGGAACCCATTTTACTTCTGGCCTTCGACACTCCCTGGCAGCGAGCTCCTGGGCCGGCTGTGTGTGTGGGAAGAGGCACTTCCTGCTGTTTGCTTTAAACCTGCTGCCTGTCACCTGGGCCAGCACCCGGGAGGGTCTTGGCTCACTGCTGGGCTGCAGCACGTGGGGCCTGGGCACAGAGGTGCTGGCCTAGAACCCTGAGCCCTGGTGCTTGGCCTGCACCTTGGGGCCACGCACCTCGCTGTGCCGGGCGGGTTCACCACCCAGCTGCAGGGAGTTCTCCAGCTCTCCCCTTCCTGCATCGTTGCCGTGTTGTGACGACTCCTCCCCAGAGTGGCCAGGGAGCAGAGAGTTGCAGCTGCCCAGTGCAGAGGACTCCTGACTCCCTCCCCTTAGGAAGTGCTCAGGGGCTCCTGGAGCCAGCAGCAATGCTGGGAGTTACGGGCGGAGTGCGCCGGTGTCCCAGCACGCTGGGGGCAGCTCTGGCTCGGAGGCGGAAGGACTGCGCTGTGTGTGGCTCAGTGTGCCCAGGGGTGTCGTCAGGCTTGTACCAAGGTGTTTGCTTTGCGAAGGAAATGACCTGCTCAGTGCTAACCCTGGGGATCTGTCTCTCTCCTAGTGGCTCTGCAGATGCCCGAAGGCCTCCTCATGTTTGCATGCACCATCGCTGACATCATTGAAAGGTGAGTGAAAGACGTAGGCTCTTTGCCCTTGGAAGGGTGTCTGCCCTTGCCACGCACCCTGGCATCTGGCATCTCACCAGGCAGGTCCCCTGGGCAGAAAAGTATTGCCCCACATCAAACAGCTTTGCTAAAGCATTGGTCTGCCTGTTCCTGCCTCCCGCCACGGAGCCGCCCGCGGTGCATGTAGTTGGTATCTCCTGCGTTCGGTAGTGCCCAGCTGTGCAGTGCGGGGTGGGGCGGCCGGCCAGTGTTCACTCGGCGCATTCCTGGCTTCCCACCCAGAGAGGCTGTTTGTGGTTGAATTTATGCGGCCGTGCGAGTGGTGATCGGTGAGAGACGACCATGCTGTCGGCTGATCTCGCTGCCTGGCTCTGCCCCCCCACCCTTCGGCGCGTTCGAGCCTGCAGCCGACAAGCTCAGCATGTCCTGGCCCTCGCTGGGGTCACAGCGCCCGTGTTAACAACTGGCTGACGTGAGCTCGGGGCCTGTGTGCCGAGGAGCGCTCTGGGCTGCAGTGGGGGCGGGGCCTGGTGGCAGCAGGTGAGCTCTGAGAGGCTGGTGCTTTCGGGCACTCTCCATTCAGTGGCCTGCTGCTTTGGGGGGGAAAGGGGCTCCCTCGAGCCCCTGCCTCGCTGGCCATGGCCTCTGCACCAGGCTCATCCTGGGCTCCAGGGGAAAGGCCCTGCTGCCCGTTTACCCTGGCATCCCGCCCCCTCGCTCCTTGGGGCTGAGTGGGCAGCTGTGGGCAGGGGTCTGTGCCTGGGCACGCGGGTTCTCCCGGCTGCTCACATGGGCCCAGAGAGAGGCAGGGGTGGGGGGAGGGAGACTCCTGTCCCCCATGCTGCTTCCTACCCGATGTGTCGCAGCCCAGCGGAGGGTGAAGTGCTGAGAGGCCATTGGGAGCTGAGCACCTTGCAGGATTTAGGCTAATCTCGTTCTCCTGCCTGCTGTAACGGCCCCCCAGCTCCCTCTGTTTGCACACAGGGAGTGAGAGCCAGTAGCACCCTGCGGGGTCATGACACTCACTGGCACACCGTCTGCCTGGTGCAATGGCTGGCTTCCCTCCCACCTGCCCTTCGCCAAACAGCTGCGAATGCGGTGCCTGGCAGGCAGGTCAGAGCAGGGCATCCTCCCAGCTCGGCCAGTAACCCCGCGGCCCGCCCCCCTGCACAATGGGGTGATCAGCCCCTCTGTCCCCAGCGCACTGTGCTGCTGCTTGTGGCTCTGAGCTACGTAGGTGCCAGATGGGCTTGTTGGCAGCATCGTTGCCCAGCAGGCTGGTGGCTGCTCTGTGGCCCTGCCCTGCCCTCCGAGCCAGCACTGGTGCCCCGGGGTGCTGCAGCACTTGGCCATGCGGGCGTGAGCAGGGGGAGCTGGCAGAGTGTCTCGCTGCCTCCTGCCGGCCTCCGGGACTTGGGGAGCGACCGGGCTGGGCCTCGTCAAAGCCTGCCTGGGAGCTTCCAGTGCCCCTGTGCTGCACAGCGGGGAGCTGCTTTCATGGTCCAACTTCAAAGGCAGCAGATTAAGGGATTTTTTTATCGGAATGAATCGGGAGCCCGAGCCCCTGTGCACAGCGCAGCCTGCCCACCCTACACGGGGCGCTCCCGCCTCCAGCACCCCGGCTGGGGCTCCCAGGGTGGGGCTGTAAATGGAGGGTCCTCTGGGATGGGAGGAGAGAGGGTTGTGGAGGGGGGAGCTGTATGCTGGGGGGGGGGGATCTATGTGTATATGTGGGGGGTGCCCATGGGTGGGGGCTGTGTGCCGGGGGGGAGGGGATCTGTGTGCGGATGGGGTGGGGTGCCCATGGATGGGGGCTGTGTGCCGGGGGGAAGGGAATCTGTGTGCGGATGAGGGTGCCCATGGGTGGGGGCTGTGTGCCAGGGGGAAGGGAATCTGTGTGCGGATGGGGTGGGGTGCCCATGGGTGGGGGCTGTGTGCCGGGGGGGGGATCTGTGTGTATATGTGGGGGGTGCCATGGGTGGGGGATTTGTGAGGAGGAGGCCCGCAGCAAAGTAACACTAACACAGGAGATGTGGGCGATGCGGGGGCTGCCACAAGGCTGTTCGGGGTGGGGGAGAGGCCGGGGGCAGCGGGGCTGGTTGGGGGAGAGGGGAGCAGCGACACGTGGTGTGGGGGGGTCACTGAGCTGGACGGGGCCCACGCTGGGGGCGGCGTGGCCTGGCTCTGGTCACTGAGGTGCTGGAGCTTGTGGCCAAGGCCTGGGGTCTGTGATGGAACCGGGGGCTGGGACGAGGGAGGAGGTGGCCCCTGGCCTGCAGCTTGGGAAACACTGGCCAGGGTCTGGGCCTGTTGGTGCCCCTGGGGGCTGTGCCAGCCCTGAGCCCCCGGGCGCCGCCCCCTCCCCTTGGGCCCTGGGCCAGCCCTTTGCCCCCCTCCTTGTGCTGTGTCAGCCTATTAGGTGTAACTCTGAAGATACCAGCTGGGAGTCTGAGGCCTGGTCTACACCTGAGACGTAGGTTGGCCTGGCTACACGGCACAGGGCTGTGCGTCGTCAGGGCGAGTGACCCCTGGAGCTGCAGCTCGGGCGTGGCTAGGAGCCTTCCGTCCATGGCTGTGGCCAGCGGTGACTCGCGGCTGGAGCCCTTTATAGCCACTGCCTGAGCCTGTGCCGCTTAGTGCGAAGCCATCGAACCCCCGCCCCTCACTCCCCAAGGAGCGGCCGCGGGTCAGGAGAGAACTGCAGTAGGTGAGGGGTTAGCGCGACAGAGGGCCTCGTTAGTGCCTGGCTCGTTAGTGCCTGGCTCCTCGTACCATTAATATTTATAGCTGGTGCGAATGTGGAAGCTTAGCTTGGCCGCTGCTTCGGCTGGCCCTTTTCACCCAGCTGCCTTGGCTCCAGACGTGACAGAAATAGCTCCTTCTGCCCGCAGCAGCGCGGCGTGGGTCTGTGCCAGGCCGGCGAGCTCCCCCGCACGTGTGGGAGCAGCCCTGTAGGACTGCAGGTCGCAGAGTCCCAGTCACGCGGGGAGCCTGTTCGGAGCCTGCCCCATGCCCAGGATGGACGAGATCCTAGACAAGTTGGAGGCCCTGTTACCTCACCAAGGGCGACTGGCCAGATGCCAGGTTGAAATCTGCTTTCATCACCCTGTTGGGGCTCTGTGCATTCCTGGTCCTGCCTTTCGGCTCCAGGGGGCGTCGGCCACCTGCCAGCGCCGGGTGGGTCAGGCACAGGGGGAGGGAGCACTTGGCCCTGGCGCACATGGATGACGTGTGTCTTTAGCCAGACTGCGGAGGAGCCTGTGTCCCACGTGAGGAGGGGGCTGGGGCGTCTCCAGGAGGCCAGGCTGGCTATAAAGGCTGGGAAGTGCAAGGTGGGGATGGCCGAGGTGTCGTGCCTGGGCCTCAAGGTGGGAAGCGGCTGCCTGAAGCCAGAGCCAGCCATGGTGGAGGCGACCAGAGACTGACCTGCTCCCCAAACCAAGAAGCAGGTCCAGGCCTTTATGAGGATGGTGGGACACTGCTGGAGATTTGTACCCCACTTGAGCTCTCTAGCAGCCCCATCACGGAGCTATGTAAGAAGGGCAAGGTGGTCTGGACTGAGCAGTGCCAGGGGCTCTCTGGGCTCTGAAGGAGGCTCTAGTCAAGGGCCCAGTGCTGGTGAGTCCAGACTTTGACAAGCCTTGTGGCGTTCACAGATGCCCCAGACGCAGGGCTGGGGGCGGTGCTGATGCAGGCCAATGCGAAGGGGGAGAGACCCCCCCCATCGGGTACCTGAGCGGGAAGCTGCTGCCCTGGGAGCAGAACTATGCGGCCATCGAGAAGGAACGCCTGGCCACGCGGTGGGTGCTTAAAAAGCTGCAGCCGTATCTATTTGGGAGGCACTTTACTGTGTACACTGACCACTCTCCTCTGACGAGCTGGACCAAAGAGAGGGGCTAATGCCGAGCTCCTGCAATGGAGTCCGACCCTCCAGGATTATGAGATGGAGGAGGTCCATGGGAATGCAAAGTTATAGCCAATGTTTTGCCCCGGAGAGGGGGGCCTGCACTTCCCCAGGCCATTAGCTGAAGGGACCCTGCTCCGTTCAGACTCGAAGGGAGAGGGGGGGATGTGACGAAGTGGGGAGTTTTCTTAATGTTGTGTATGATTATTGTGCGTGCCTCGGTTTCCCTGTGAATTGCATGTCTAACCAGGCGGAGGATGGAAAGACGTTGATCTTTGCTGAGATCCCTAGAGGATCAGATGCAACTGTCGCTGGCTACTGGGGCCCAGCCAATGGCCAGACAGTTTGTCACTTCTGTCGCTCGGACGGGGAGGGGTCAGAACATTCACACCCCCGAGTGACATCGGTTTTGCCGACATAGGCTGCATTGTAGACGTGGCCTAAGCCAGGGGAGGTGGCAGTGGCAGGAAGATTGTGGCTTGTAGCCACCCCTTCTCAGGCTTGGCTGGGGAGCCTGGCTAGCGCAGGGGGTGCCCTTCCTCTTGGGGTCTGGACTGAGGCAAGGCCCTAGCGTGGCGCGTACTAGGTGGGAGCGTCCTAGGGCTGCCAGCTGGCTGACTGGGCCTCGCACTGAGCAAAGGGCCAGGAGTCATGAGACCTGGTTCTTCTGTGAACACGGACTTGCTGGGTGGCTTCGGATGTCGCTGCCCTTGTGGGCTTGGGGTCCGGGTCGTGCTCTCGTTCATGAAACCCGTCTGAAGGAGGGACACACACATGCTGTTTAACAAACCCCCTTCACCCCCAGGTGGGCTCATCCTTCCCGCCCCCTGCGGGGAGCATCTTGCACTACCCTTGGCAGGGTTTGCAGGGGAGGGGCTCTGGAAAGCTCCCACTCCGCTGTGCACAGAGGTAGCACTCCAGTTAATTGCTAAGCAGGAGCATGCCCAGGGACCGCGAGAGCTGGCAGCGCGGGCTGGCTCGCTCCCCATGCCTTGAAGACAAGGATTACAATTCAGGGAAGTGCTCCAGTTATGCTGGGATCCCAGGGCCCTGCGCACCCCATGTCTTTGTTTCAGGTTTATCTCTGTTGTGGAGT